GTTGGGGGGGGGGGGGTTAGGATGGTCACAACTGCATAAAGTCATATGTGCGCACAGGACACATTAGACAGTTTCAGTTCGGTAGGAATAAATTTTTAATTTTGCCCGGGTGGCGCCGAAGTCTACTTCCGTGGATTTTAGGACCACCAAGGGATCCTCAACGTGCGCAACTTTCACACAAGATGTTCCAGAGGTACTATGTTCGCCTCTCATTCAATAAGTCCCGGGGTTGAAACCTGACAGTGCTGGAAAGTTTTCTTCGTCAAAATTCTCAATTCACCTCCTTTCCTGCTCTCTAGCCTAATTACGTCTCACCTGGGCTCTTAACTCTTACTGCTGCATTTCTGCTGTAACTCCTTGGCTTCTTCTTACTGCTTTCTTTCAGCCACACTTGATCTTAGGGTAGGTGAGATCTATCACCTAGCCTTCTATGACCTTATGCAATTCGCGAGCGCCATAAAACACATAAAAAAGACTAGACCCTAATGAAGTCAGGTAATGATTGGCCGTCTTTAGGCTAAACGTATTGCCCCTTGCACGGAGTGCCCTTTGCTAGCCAGATTGAGATTGGGTTATGATGCTCGGGCCGTGCCAGATCTGCGACAGAGAGCGGGCATTAATCAACAAACCGATCTCCCGACTCATCACCCTGAAAACACACACACGCATTTATTTTTCAAGCAACGAGGATTGGTTTGTGCCACGAAAGCCGCTTTGGCTCTCAACTTAATCTGGGGAGCAAACTTAATCGAACCGCCCCAAACCGAACGGATCGTGCCAATGGGCGTCCCGTTTGTGTGAACACAGCCTAGGCTCTGTATGAATCTCGCGCTCCGTCCACGGTGGACGGCGTTTGGTCGATGTATATAAATATATGTGACAGAACATATGTTTTGCTATACGCACGCCATTCCTTGCATCAACACCTTTTTTTGCTATACGCACGCAATTGTCTGCATCAACACATTTTTTTTGTGCTATACGCAGCGTGCAAGTTATCATACTTTGTTATGCTCACAATTCCGTTTATTTCCCTCTTCCTTAAGTTTGCCCCTCAGAATTATGTTTCCCCTTTAATTATGTCGCCTGCCTAAACAGGCTTAGGCGAGAGGATAAAAATTGATATAACCTGAGTCTTCACTCTTGTACCTTATTCTTGAGATAAGAAGTTCAGAAACCTTTGTGCAGCCAGTGCAACCAAAGACCGTGTATTTACGGTCTCTGGTACAACTGTTCTATTTTTAGACTTTTTGGATTCCTCAGATTTTCAGTTGAAAACTGCCTCAGAAAACGGAAAACGTGAGGACGTATAGCAACATTAATGGAATGTAACTCGGGGAGATTTTCCTTCAAATAACTGAATAGCAGCCTTTCTTGTATTCATGGTCCCTTCTTTCTGTTCGGCACGACAGTCCGAACCTAGGCTTCCTCAGTCCTGAGGAAGCCTAGGTCCGAACCCAACGCTGCATAAAGACTCAATGTGTGTATACAATTGCGTGCGTACAGAAAACTATGATACAGTCGAACCTGCCTTAACGGAAACCTGTATAAAACGGAAACCTGTCTTAACGGAATCTCCCCTCTCCCTTCTTGATATACTCCTCGTTAATTACCTGTATAAAACGGAAACCTGTTCCTGTCCAACGCGGAAACGGAAAGAAATATCCGCTCTTTCCGATGGTTTCACCTGTCTAAGTCTAAGACGGAAAATGCTTTTCCCACTCAACCCTGATTTGAAACAAAACTCGCAAGTTTGGTTGCTCCGGCTCTAATTACTCTAAACTTAACACTATGGCTATGCCGCTGGACGAGAAAGAGGAGTAGGGCTGAAATTTGGGAGTTACCCAAGGAGTTTACAGTAAGTTCTAAACTCCATGGGGTTACCCTAGGCCTCCGGTTAGGGGTTACCCCATCATGTGAGCCCTGAGCGATGCAGATGGTCAATGTAGTGTGGGTGTGAAATCTCACGACTGCCCGTGAGAGTGTTTGAGTAGCGAGCCACTACGGAAACTTTCCTGGGCAGCCAGAAGCCAGAGGTGTGAAATTAGATTGACCAATGCCAGCCGAGATAAGAGTTCCTCGAATCGTTGTTGCATGATGGCTGTGAGGGGTAGCATTGGGGGGTGGGGCTAAGGGTGGAATCAAAGGAGCTGTTCAAACGTTTCTGTTTTTAATAGGTTAAACAGTGGTCCTATGAAAGGCAAGCACTGGAGGTAATTGGATAAGTAAGACTAACGCATGTCATTATCAGACAGGATAGCAATTGAGAGGTGTGAAGTTTTGACCATTGTTTGCCGATCGGACAAGCGATCCTAGATCCCACCGGCCGGGCCTTTGAACCCCCAATCAACCTTCATCTCCCCCTGAATTCCCCTGTCTAAGACGGAATTTTTTCTGGCTCTCCTGCGATTCCATCTTACACAGGTTCCACTGTACTTTGCATGCAGTTGCGTGCGCATAGCAAAGCTTGAATTTATTTGCACGCAGTTGTGTGTGCATAGACTCAGTTGTGAAAGAGGCCTCACATGTACACCAGAAAGCTTCGTGTTAGATTGAAAACCCATTTCTGAACGCCATAAAACTGGACAACGTTGGACGATACGATAAAAATCTCTTGTCACGCGTGCGTTTGTCGGGGCGAGAGGGATTTTTACCGTCCAATCTAATTGCATCAAAGTTGGCTTTTAAAACATTAATACACAATCATTGGAGAATGTGAGCGAAACCCTCACTAACATCCGACAGGGAAAATAAAGTTGTCAGCTCGGTCCGACGTTGTGTCTGTCTGAAAGGCACCTTGACTTAAATTTCCCATTTGGATCGGTCCATCCGGAGATGGACGTTAAACTCGGAGGTCCCACCTAATATTGTTGGTTGGGACGATAAACCTATACCATTTCACTATTTTTCAGAGTAGTTAGGGAAGGTTGTGATCTGATAGTGATTGTTAAGGAAAGTCTTCTTTTTTATAGCGCTGGTGGAGTGATGAAACCACGTAACCCTCAATTTTTTCGAAATTCGTTTTTTTGGCTTAATATCTTCTCCCAGTTCTTCTTCACAATGTGTCAAAAGCACTAGGTTAAATTAGTAAGAGAAAGTATGAAAACAAAATAATTTTTTAAAAACCTCGTATGTTTGCCCCCATGATATCCTGGCGTGATGAAACCTCGCAACCCTCACCCGGTGCGCCGATCTGCTTTTGCGTGGTTTCATCACTCCCGGTTTGAGAGAGTGGCGTGCTTATACGAGGATCTGGATAAGCCTTCTTTATGAATTAGCTTAATTGGAGCGCTCATAACTGACATTGTCTGGAGCATTTAATGTATCTGACGGAATAAAGAAATATTTCACTCTTTCATTCATCCATACATTCATTCATTCTTTTATTCATTCACTTTATTTTAGTCAGTTCAGAAATTCAAATATGGTCATAAGTGAAGTACTTACATTGTGTAAATATATTAAAAATCCATTCATAAGGATGACTAACGAGCTGGTAATCAAGATGTTCTCATCGAGCACAAACGTAGTTAACATTTAAGTTAAGGCAACAGTCACACCTTGAAATGACAGGTGACGGTAGTCCTTACTGAGACTAGGTGACAGATCTATGCACTCTCCAGATGTCAACAGGCCATTCTGTTTATCAAAGAGAGGGTATGGTTTTGCATTTCTTCAGGCTATTTTTAGTTTTAGTACAGGTTTTACGGCGCTCGCAACTGCATAAGGCCATACGAGCGCCAAGGGTTGAATGTCAACAGAAAGTCCTTACAGGGAATCAGACTTACTCTGCTCACCTCTCTAGCTTCAGCAGCAAAGAGTCTGCTTCGACTACATGTATCAAGTCACCACGAAAATAGTGGGTCACAAGAGTGTGACAATTATACAAAAGAAATAGAGGAAAATGACGATAGTAAGGATTAGGACAGAAAAAGCAGCAGTTCTCTGTTGTAGTTCAGGCACAGTTATGAGCATGACATTGTTAGATGAGCCCATTTACAATTCTACTGTGCACTAGAACAAAAAATGTCCCCCCCACCCATTTGGGAATGGCCTAAAGACACTTCAGTCGGTGGCACTGCCCCGGATGAGTCTCAGACTATGAATCCGCTGTGTAGTCGAATCCTCTAGTTGTGGTTGAGACCGAACAGTACTGAACTTTAACGGGGTCTTGATGACTCTAAAGTCTTTAGAGGACATTGTGACAAATTTGTGCCTCAACAACACAAGTAATAGGGACATTTCCGAATCTGTGTTGATTATCTCTTTCTAACTGTGCTCATCATCTAGATCTTTATACCCTACAAGGGCTGATTTGGAAACCACTGAGCAGACCACGTTCCATGAATTGACCCCGCCCACCATGTCGCAGTCCTTTCCAGGGCTGTCTCTGATATGTGGAGATAAGGAAGTATCAGCATCATCCCAGATTGAGTCTGCACCAACACCGGTGTCGCCTGGAATCATACCCCAAACCATACTGACGTTTCACTAGGCAGCTGTAAGTCAGATGCTAAATTATTACCTTCGAGGTCACAGCAACACGATTTGTAGACCATATTCAGGCACCTTAGCCACTTTTCCTGGAGCCTGATCCCGAGACACAGCTTATTTGTGATGCCAGCATAAATGATTCTCCACAGAGGAAAAGAAAGGGTTTTCAGGAGTGGCAACAAATAAGTGAAAGGCCATCCGTGGATCAGGACAGGATCAGAATACA